AAAAAAAAAAAAAACCACTGTAATGTAGGCATTATAAACTATGTTGAAGGACACAAGCAGGGCATTCTGATAAATGTAATGAGTAAAAAGTTCACTGGATAAGCAAAATAACATATTGGCAATTAAAGAAAAAAGAATTAATGAATGTGAAGATCAATAGAAAATAACCAATCTGATAAACAAAGTCAGCAGAAAACAAGCAGGCAGGCAGGAAGGTAGGCAGGCAGGCTGGCCACAATGTCCTGTAGAAATATCAAATACTCTAACACATGTGTGACTGGAGGCCCAGAAGGAAGGAAGAGAAATGGGGTAGTAAAATACTTTAAGAACAATGGCTGAAATCTTCCCAACTAGGTGAAAAAATTTGAACTACGATATATTTACGTAAACAGAGTAAGTTCAAAGAGAACCACTTTCAGGCACACTATAGAAAGGCTGCTGAAAATCAAAAGTATAAAAAAGAAAAACCTCCCAAATAGCCCCATTTCATACTGGGGGAAAACGACACTGCCAACAGCAGGCTTTATGGTAGAAGATAAAATGATGATGTCCTTTACATGCTGAAATTCAAAAAAACTCAACTGAGAAGTCTATATTCCACAAAAGTATTCTTTAATCCAAAAGTAAAATATTTTCAGATGAACCAAACTCCAACACTGTATTTCCAATACAGCTACATTTAATGAGATGCTAAAGGAAGCTCTTCCACCTAAAGGAGCTACAGCACATGAATTCCCCACCTGCAGGAAGGGATGAGTGGGACGAGACTAAGTACGCATCGAAGACTGCCACATTTGCCTTCCCATAACTTTCACATTGCTTGAAAAACAATATACTGAAAAATAAATTTATTCTATCCACTTTTGTGGTATAGGGTCTCTATGTAGCTTACCAACCAGAGACTACTACTTCCTCTTTTGTTTTGGACCCCAGTGAGCATTACTACCATCCACTCAATTGTTTGGGGAGAAAATATGACTTCCATGCTCCAGTCTTCCCTTTCTCTCACACCCTAGTGTACTTATCTCATGAATCCTTTCAAGTATATCCAATTCTCTTCATCATAGCAACTATCTTAATTCAGTGTCTCGCTTTTTGCCACAATTACTCCAAAACTTTCAGAACTGGTCTTTTTTGCCTCCTACTCCAATGTTCTCGAAACACCAACTGCTCTTACAAAAAAAAAAAAAAAAAATTAGCTGGAGAGATAGCTCAGCACCATAAATGCCTGCCTGGCTAATGCAAGGTCCCAAGCTTGATCCTCAGTACTACAAATAAACAAAAAAGAAAATCCAGCATGTCACTCACTTATCTAATTCCTTTCAATAAAAATGCAAAAATAGGGCTGGGGAGATAGCTTGGTGGCCCAAGGACCTGAGTTCGATCCCTGGTACCACATGCGGTGCCAGCCCCGGCCCTGGAACCCTGGCCACTACGCAGTCCCACCAAGTATGGAGGCTGAGATAGGAGGATCACTACAAGCTGGGCAGTGAGATCCTGTACTGAATAAATAAACATTTTTTTCTTTTAATGCATTTAATAGAGGGTCTACAGGGTCTCACTACACAGATCAGACTCATAGTGATCCTCCTATTTTCAGCCTGCCAAGCACTGGGATTACAGGTATATGCCACCACGCCCAGTCTCAGTTGCCATCTCAGCATGCCCTGGGGGCAGGGCCTGGTTTGGTTTCCTACGCCAAACCAGGGATCAAACCCCTGTCCCTGCACCTGCCTAAGCAGGCACTTTAGTCTACTGAGCTATTTGGCCAGCCCTATAAATAAACAATTTAAAATTAAAAAATTTAAATGTAAAAATACGTAGCATGGCATACAAAGCATTGAAATGACCTGGTTCTCCACTTCTGGCTTGGCTTGTCCACTCGCTAGGTTCCTAGAACTGCAATGTTTTTAAAGGTGAGGGATCTCCACAGCCTGTGCTCTCGGTCAGAAACCCCATTCCTTCTGCCTCTGCTCACACCCAACGTTAGAACTCAAAGCTTCCCTCGAGTTTCAAAAAGCAACAGCTGCTCTTTCAACTTGAGGTAAAGCATCCTTCATACGTAACAGGATGTGAGTTTAGCCCACTGTAGCTAACAGTGTTTCTAACATATTAGTTTTACTTTTCAATTTTTGTGCAGTGTAGTTATAGTAAACATACCTGACAAGTTGCTGACATATTTGACATCCTGGAAGGCATCTATAAAATATGAAAGGGCAAATAAATTATTACATCCAAGAAATTTTGTTAAACTACATAAACTATTTTGAACTATACAAAATCGACACAAAATGTGAAGCCAGAGAAAATTACATATTTAACTTTTCAGTCAATATCAAACATGATATATACCCTGACACATACACTCAAATAAATTTAAAACTCAGGTTTCCATATTTTAAATACAATTAGTTTTAACATAAAATCTAGAAATTATTAAGACTGACATGTTTAATCACCTAAAAACAAAACATTTGCATGCAGCAAAATCTGCCAGCAGTAAAGTCTAAGATCAAACTGAGGAAAAAAATGTGCACAGGGTTACTCCCCAAATCCATAAAAAGCTTCTCCAGTTTTTAAAAATCAATATAAAAAAGAAAAATTACATTGACAGTGCACATGAACATACATTAAAAAAAAAAAGATTTGCATAGCAAAGATTTTAAAAAATGTTTTAGGACAATATCTTCATGAGAATGTGAAGAAAGTTTTGTTACCTGCTGGTAGGAATGTGGAACAGTATCTCTACAGACAACAACTTGATAATAGTCATCAACAAAATGCAGACTCTTCACATGTTAATTCTAGTTCTAACATAGGGGCTAACACATATCTTAAGTATATATGCGTACACAGTAATAATACACTGTACTATTTTCTATCTTTTTTTTTTTTTTTTTGGCAGAACCAGGGATTGAACTCAGGCCCTTGTGCTTGCCAGAGAAGCGTTTATTCTACTGAGCCATCTCCCCAGCTCCTTTATTTTCTTCTAATAGAAAGAAAACCAAAGTACTACAATTTTCATTAGTAAAAGGTTACTAAAACAAATGATTCTGATATATAACTAACATGTACCAATGAAGAACAAAGTAGTAAGCTCCACCATAAACAATCGAACGGGCGATGTTTTGTTGTTGTTGTTGTTGTTGTTGTTTTTGCAGAACCGGAGATTAAACTCAGATCCTTGTGTTTGCCAGTCAAGCGCTTATCCTACTGAGCCATCTCCCCGGCCCCCGGGCGATGTATTTTAAGGGACGAAGAAGATATACAAGTAGCTGCGTGGACACACAAAGACATAGCTACTTCAAAAGGGATCTCAAGGAATGGATAATACCATATTTATTTTGATAGAGAATTTATAGCTAAAGCACAGACTTGAAAAGGAGACTTTCACTTATAATACAGTAAAGTTGAAACAAGTAAGTTGTTTATATAAAATTAATTTAAAAATCTAACTAGTATAGAAAGGAGGAACCAGCTGTTTGAAAGCTATGCCTCATATGTAAGATTCCAGCTGAAGATACTTAATAACTTTAATACTGATAACTACTTTTATCATTTTTACTGCAAAATGAAGTGAAAAAAATTATACAAAATAACTTCCTTACTAATAATACAATCTATTTGTAATAACACAAAACCCAACTTTCTCTGAAAGTGTTTTAGGTTTTTTTTGTTTGTTTGTTTTTTGCGGTACCGGGGATTGAACTCAGGACCCTGCACTTGCCAGACAAGTGCTTATTCTACTGAGCTATCTCCCAAGTCCGTGTTTTACTTTAGAAGTGACATGGTGAACTAAGATCTATACTCTAATATCGCTTTTAAACATAACTAGCCATGTGATCTGATGATGTACTAATAAACAGTAAAAATTAGAAGACATCACAGAATCCACTGACTCTTTGTAAAGACGTTAAACTTATCTGATGATCTCAGAAGAGTTAAAAAAAATTCACAAAACTTACTTTAAAATGCTGGTTATGTCCAAAATACAAAATATCAGGCTGGGGATATATAGCTCAGTTGCACATTTGCCTGCCTGATGTTTGTTTGATTCCCAGTACCAAGAAAATCAGTAGTAATCAACCACACCCTACGCTGGGAGAGTGGAATCCCACACCTGTAATCCCACCACTCTGGGAAGCTGAGACACAAAGATCATATATTCAAGCTCAACCTGGGCAGTTTATCAAGTTTACCAAGACCCTGTCTCAAAAATAAAAGGACTGTGAATGTAGCTCAGTGTAAACAGCTGTAATTCAATTTTCAATTAAAAAAAAGTATATGTATGTATAAAACTCTAACCCTAAAATGCCAATTACCATAATTAAAAATAAAACTAAGACTCTGGTACAATAGCAAGTGGTCTGACCACTTGACAGACTGAGTCAGGAAGATTACTGGAGTCCAAGAGTTCAAAGCTAGCCTGAACAA